AAACTACACATATGGCAACAGACTAAACTATTTAGAAAGAAAGTTAGTAAGGGCAAAGTAGCAAGCTGATATAAAGCAATCAAGCATTTAATACTAGCCAACAAGTTAATTAAATCAGAATACCAAATACCTGGCTATAATGGAATGGCTTTGCTACTTCCCAAATGCCAAATAAAAAAAGACAAAAGAACCAAAGAATAGATTTTTACAAGTGTGAACAAAGAGAATCTAGACTTTCAAAAAGTGGTGAAAAAAAAAGATAAACAAGTCTTAGTCAAGCATTAGCAAGGAAAAAATATAATTATAGAAAATAGTAGAGAATTTTAGCTAATAGAAAAATGTAAGAGCTGCCAATTAAACTTGTATAAATATAATAATAGTTGCCAAAGATGGTTGAGATATGAAAAGATTCAAGGGGTGCTTGCCAAATATTCAAACCAAAGAGATCAAAAAATTAACTCCCTTTTCAGAAGAATTTTTAAAGAAGATGCAGCAACTAGATAAATTAAAGACGGACAAAATTTTATCACTGCTATCAATACAGCTTGAAGAAATACTAGAGACACAGTTGATAAAGGAGCAGAAGTTTGGTAAAATGGTATCAGACAATTTACTTAAGGTATTGGATAAAAACAGAATATTTAGCAATAAGACATTTGTATTCTATACAGACGGTTCACTGGTATACACAGATGGGAATAGTATAATAGGAGCAGGTTAGGTTCAAATTGATGAAGATTTGAATATTAGTATAGCAGAAGGTAATATTAGATTAAATTGTTGGCCATTATCTACAAAGCCAGAACTCACAGCAATCTAGGTAGCTCTTTTTACAGTCCTATTAAATAGTAAAGTAATAATCTATACAGACAGTGTAGCTGCAATTGCAAGTATTAGAAAGATAGAAGATAACTGAAGAGATTACAATTGGTCCAAGAGTAATAACTTTCTACTACTAGCCAAAATTTCAGATCTAATCAGAATAAAAAACTTGAACTTAGTGCTTAAAAAAGTCAAAAGGCATAGTAACAATAAATGGAATGATAAAGCAAATAAAGTAGCAAAAGAAGTATTATTACTACAAGAAAAAATGAATATTCATTCACTACAAAGTACTAGATTTAAAGCACTATTGTACTGAAAAAATATGATAGTTGAGAGCCCATCAAGAAAGTTTCTAAAAAATCTCTTTAATCTATGGAATAGAGCCAACTATTCACAAACAAAAGCAATCTCAGGATTAGAAAATACAAAAGATATTCCAACATATAATTGGCAGTTATACTGGAAGCAGACCAAAAGACAAACTGGAGTTAAATGTATTTTATTAGTGCAAAGCAAGAAGTTTTTAACCAGAATTAAAAGCCTCATAAACAAACTCTCACTACTAGTAGAGGTTAAAAGAAGATGATATAACCTGTACCAAGAAGATTTTTGCATATTATACAAGCTAAAGAAAAAAAAATTCTTGAACATCTTGCAGAATGTATAGCTCTAGAATTTGAATGGAAAAATATCAAAGCAGTGATGTCAAAACTAATCTAGATAAAGTTAGAAAAGATATATAAAAGAAAGATTAGCAAGCCAAGTTTAGCTAATCTCTTTTTCAGGAAGACAAAAGCTAAAAAGGTACAAATCAGAACTGAGATAGCAGGAGGATTAACAAGAAACGAACTTTATAATAGTCTCATTTGTATCTTCGAATCGAACAAGGTTGCAAAACTGGTTTTAGACCAGTTTATATCGATTTCATAGAATCTTTTTCATGACTTTATTTAGAAATCCAGATGTACGAAGATAGTAGATTAGAAAATCTTACTAGAAATTACATACAGTGCTAAAGTTAGAAAAAAGTCAGACTCTACAGATCATGACAAGAACTTTGAAGCAAAAAGAAAATGTTAAATATCCAAAAACTTGACTAAAGAAAATAAAGAGTTATAATGAAAATCGTAGATGAAAAATAGTGTATAGTAGTTTTTAGTCTGATCCGAAAGGGTGTAACTCCTTTTTGAACTTCTCTCTAAAACAGGGCTAATTCAGACTCTGGGCTCTTCAGAGCCTGGTGCGATAGGTTGCATTTGAGTCTTAGGCTCGGATGATATCAGACTTAGTTTAGTCTTAGAACTTTAAAATATGTATTTTCTTATTAAATATATAATAAAACTAAGAGGTCAAGTTTTGGCGAGACCTGTCTAAAAGGAAAAAAAAAAAAAAAAAAAACTTAAAATTAAATTCTGCGATTATATAAAGTATAAAAAAAAATTTTTTTTTTGCTCTATTTAACAAGTTATAGCTCTATTATCTTTGTATAATTTAAAAATATAACTTTGCTAAAATAAAAATTTACTAATTTTAAAGTAATATTTATATATAAATATATATCTTAAACAATTTTATTTAAAAAATAAAAGCAGATACTTTTATAGAAAAATAAGTTAGCTATATTAAAGTTAAAAATTTTAGTTTTTTAATATATAACTTTTTTTTTACTTAGATAACCTGGGTTTGTTTTTTAAATAAAGTTGTTTAGCATAAAATTATATATATATATATATTTGTTAAAATACATTTTTGCAAATCTTTTACTAAATTAAAAATGAAATTAAAGTTAGAAAAAAATTTTTTTAAAATCTTTTTTACTAACTTTAGCTCTATTTTTAACTTAGTAAAAGGTCTGCAAAAATGCATTTTAATAAAAAATATATATATAAAATTTTATGTCAAACAACTTTATTTAAAAGATAAAAACAGATTATCTAAATAAAAAAAAAAGATTAATATTAAAAAACTAGAATTTCTAACTTATTTTTTTATCAAAGTCTAATCTTATTATAATCACCAGGTTAAGAAACAAAATTTTTAATATTAAAGGTGAGACCTTGTTCTTATCTTTATTAGGTAAAAACAAAATTTTAGTAATTATAAAAAGTTATAATTAAATAAAGATTAAATTTTATATTTTATAATAGCTAGACCAAAAAAATAGTATAATTATAACAAGGTTATAATTATATTAAGAGTGATTATAACAAGATTAGACTATAATCAGCTTTTATTTTCTAAATAAAGTTGGTTTTTTTTTTTTTTTTTAATATTAAAGTGACTACTTAGGCCATTGGCACGAGCTTTATTCAGGTAGTTATGATATTACATCCATTTCATGAGGATACAACTAGCCACATGTGCACCTTTTGGGTGCCTAATTTAAGTAGTCTACCTAGGTTCTACACTAGCCATCATATCTGCAATCTAACTAGGAGATTATTTATTTAAGCTCTCTGATTATTTCTAATAAGAGTACGACTTGCTATACATACAACTTTGGTTGCCTATTTAAGTAGTCTGCCCTAGGTTCCACACTAGCTGCTATCCTATAACCCAACTAGAGAGTTACCCATTTAAATCCTCTAGCTACTACTTTTGTAACACGCCCTACTCTAACACTCATATGAGATTAGCAATTGTCGTGAATGATCTTAAGACTTTAGCCAAACCATATTGGAGCATTTATCCTTATAGTAAACCTAACAGAATAGTATATGTTCCACCCATGTATTCACTTGCATGTTCTGATAACTTTCAACTAACTAGTACCTGTTGTGCTGCCACTATCAGGTTCGTGTCTCAAGCTATCTTTTCAGATATTGCCATAACCTGATCTGTATCTTAAGCCTCAATCTTTCTAATTACGTACTCCTCACCCTTGTGAGGTTCACAACAACCCTGGTACCTACATTCTAACTTCTTTTTTCCCTGAATTCCTTACTGGTCCCTCCCTTACTTCTAGCTAGCAACCTGAAAGGGTTGGTCTGTCTAGGCTTTAGGTCCCTAAGGTCACCCTCCCCTTGGTACATGCTTCTGGAGCACAAGTCCTTTTCTTTTGGTTGGCATTCCGGTAGTTTAGCTAGTATATCCCCACTTAAAAATCTGGTCGTTTGCTTCTCCAGTCTCAGTCCTGGTTCCAAATTTGGCCTTCCTGTAGCACCATCAAAGATCACTACTACTCCATACTCGGGACCTGCCAAACGGGTTTTCAGTAATTCTGGTTTCCTGAATTTATTATACCAAAGCTCTTATTTGATATAGTTTAACCAAGATTATAGATGTCTGGATTCAACTAATAATTTTAACATTAACTGATACAGATCTAGTTTTTTCAAAATCGTCATTCGTGGGATTCGAACTCTAGATCTGCCATCTGTAATATGACAACTCCACCACTTCACTAAGTTGCTACACTTTTTTACTGTATATATATTATATTAGTCATTAAACTAATAATAGTTGTAGTTAAAGTAATGTATAATATACCTTGTTCTGATAATAAAAAACTTTTTCAAAAGGAATTAATAGCTAATTTTATAGAATGATCTAGCACTCAATTAAACTTACTATTGCTCAAATTTATTTATAATAGTAAATTTAACTATTTCATCTAAAAAGAATAAGTATAAAGTACTTGAATACTAATGAAAAGTAGCTAAAGAATTGAAGTTGTTTCAGATTGATAAATAAGGATTGTTGTCTAATAAAAATAAAATCTGAAAAGCAAGTGCAAGCAGATAAATATAAAATAAGGATAATAAAGAAGCTAGAGTTAAAAAGAATAAGTAATAGAATAATAATAAATTAATAGATAGTGATAGATTTGTTAGTTGCCTACTATAATTAATTATATAATCATATTAGATATTTAAAGACTATAATTCAGCCTTTAGCTAATTTTATAAACTTTGATTTTTTTTAATAGTTTATATATATATATATTTTTTTAGTATTAAGATAATCTTTTTGATCTAGAAAACTCTTTATTAGTAATCATTTGCTATTATAGTTATAATGAAGATACAAGTAGCTACACATATATCTTTGAGTACCTATTTAATTGCTAATTCGGTTATGATCAGCACTAATCACGTGCAAATCATTATAAAAATTGGGGATAATCAATATAATAAAATCTATTATAGCGCTAGAATCTGAAGCTTATCTACCAAATGGCAAAAAGAATACGCCAAGCCCAAGTTACTCTATTAGAAATAGGTGTTTTGAATGAGACTTTACATTATGGGCCGTATTCTCATTATTGGTAAAAAAATAAGGTTTTTGATAACATATCATTTTTTCCTATTCGTATTGGACAAAAAACTAAAGTTATACTTAACAATTATGAGTTTATTATTACTATAGTAGTTGGCCATCCTAACAATCCCTATTTGCCCAGTTATACTTGTCAAAGCGATACTTTTTATACTAAAACTCCAGTTTATGATCCTAGTACCGATATTTCTTCAATTTATACTAGTATTTTTAATACCAAAACCCGTTATTCAGGCCTGCTTATTATAGGCTGGACAGATCGTGATATCGTTTTATAATTATTAGTTGATGTTTTTTTCTTTTCTTTTTTTTTTAATTTGGGTCAAATTAAAATTTTTGTTTTTGGGATCGGGTCTTCTTTACGGGAAGATTGGCATAAGGGTGGTTCAGGTCATCAATCATCGTTAATTCATATGTATAGTAAAAAACAAGGTTTATATATTTCGTCTATAGAGAATAATATATGTAAGATTGAAGTTTATCAAGACTCACAATTAAAGCAGGCAGTTGAGGGGGCATCCCCGAATAATGTTTGGGAGCATTTTAGTATTAGCAAATACATTGGCGTTCAACTTTTTGGCCTTGACTATGCCATTACTCAATGATTAATAAAGCAATATTGAGTTCCCACTTGTACGCCAAATCAATGGCAAGATTTTTCTCTTATCAAAACTCTTTACGATTATCATGTGAAACAAAGAACACTTTCTAATATTAGCTGGCATGATCTTTTTATTAGTTGGCTAGCACAAGAAAGTAGTATTATTGAGCTAAATTCTGTGCTTATTTCGCTATATCCTAAAGATTATCAGTTTAGTAATCGAGAACTTAATGCATGGTGATCAATATTTCGTGCTGCTGGTGCTCATGACATAACACCTTGGTCTTACACAGAATCAAAGGTATATAATAAAAGTTTTACCCGACTAATACTTATGAAAATTTATAATATAAGCCTTATTTTCACTTTATTAAATCAGTATCAATTCTAGACAAAGTCTAACCCACCAGACCATGATTTTGCAATACTTAAACAATTCTATGAATTGGAATTTCTAATAAGTGTACCTATTCATATGCTAAATGCAACACATACCTTCTGGAACTCTTTTTCGCATGCCTTAAGTAATAACAAAAAAACTTTGGATAGAAAATGACGTATTTTATCAATAATTGCTGAAGATTTACCTATAATGAATTAGAAAAAAATTTAGGTGTAAGCTTTTTTTGTAAGTTAAATCATATATGTAAAATTATAAAATTAATTATTTAAAATTAAAAGGTTGGTCGTCATACAATCTCCGAAGCTCGTAAATATGCAAAGTCTTATGGTCATGATGCACCCCCTCTTGTAAAACCAATTATTCATCGTGTAAAATTAACAGAAGAACAACTAAATCAATTTGAACTCTTTTTTGCGACAAAGAAAATGTAAATATGTCATAATATAGAACTGAAACATCAACTGGATTACCAATTCTATATCTTCAAAACTATAAAAAAGCCTTATGGGAAAAATTTTATGAAAAATACCCAAACGGAATGCAACGTACATTATTTATGACTCGCTTACAAGGTGGCCGATATGTGTATAAGGATAATCTTGGTAGAATATGTTCAACTTGCAATGAACTTGGATATGAAGCGTTTGAAGAAATCGAAAAGCTTTTAAAGTTACACATTAGTAATAATGATCTTTAGGTACGTAAGTAAAATATATACATATATATTATATATATATAGAATATTGTGATGGAAAAAAATTACTTATCTTGAACAAATATAACCAGTTTTGCAATATACTTTTTGCCCATATAATACTCCATATCATATGATGACACATGTTTCATAGTACAAAGTATTATTTGGTTGAGTACATAGTAAAACCATGCTTATAGTATATGTATTACATATACTCTGAGTATAGTTTTACTGCATACTCGATTATTTGATTACAAATACTAGTATTTTTGAAAATACATACCAAATACTCTCATAAGTCATATATATATCTTGCTCGCATAGTACTATTCAGGTCAGCCAGTATTTTAAAAGATAGTATAGGATAACTTCAATCAATTAGATATTTTGTGTAGCAAGTGCAAACCTAAAAAAAAATTTTTTTTTTGTTATTAGCGTAAAGATTCTTCACGATTATCATATTATTATTATATTTCTAATAGAAATATAATAATATGATAATTATAAAGATTCTTCATGATCAACTTGAAAACAATACATATTGAAGATATATATATTCACAATATATATTAATTGTGTTCCTAATTCTTAAATATAGGATAAATTAAGTGCACAAACACAAACTTTGAGATGATATTTACGAAGAGATTATGCTACAAAATTTACTGTTAATCCGTTAGGTCATGCTGTTCATGATCCTTGTATAAGTCATTGTTTATGGCATGCGTTTGGCGATTGTGATCTACAGTAGTTCATTCAGAGATATGTGAAAATTGTGAAACATCATTTATTTTTTTTGATGAAACAAAGGCTAATACCCCTGCAGAGATTCATGAGATTTTAAATGAGTATCAGACTAAACTTATATATTTTCAAGCCCATCATGCATGGAAAACATACCTTAATACACAACTAAATGCTGATCTTGCACAACTTAGTTCAGATGGTGCATTAATAATTGTTGACTATAAAATGAAAATTTTATGTCAAAAATCTCGAAAAACAAAGGCTGAGTTTTTTGGTAAACGTGTGTGGTCACTCCATTCGGTCTTAATATATACGAAGGATTCTGATACTGGTAAAATTAATATCCACGCATTTATCATTGGAGTGGTGATAGTAAACAAGATGCCTGGTTTACTGCATCTTCACTTCATGGAGTAATAGAAACAATCGAAATAAAACCAAAATGGATTAGTATTTTTTCTGATAATGGACCACATTATCACAATATGGAATTAATAATAATAATAGCTTATTGGAAAGAATGGTATAGAGTTACAGTACACAAATGGATTTTTCTTGAGGCAGGTGAAGCAAAAACAGCAATCGATTCACGTCATACCCAAGTATCTAAATATAACAGATTAAAATGAAATTAGATCAAAATGGAATTTTAATCTTTAAGTTAGAGTTATTAATAAGAGTATGCATGAGTTTGAAGATTCAAACAAAAGTTTAAATTTCATTTTGAACTGATTTTCTTATGATTTGCAACAATAAACTTATTTTTGTAATTAGTAATTCTAATAAGCTATTATTGCTATTTATTTAGTTAACACATTCTATAAAATAGTAGGTAAAAATGGGACATGATATTGAATCGGGTGAGGAAATACAAGATGCAATAAAGGATCTGGCAGGAACTCATGTTGCAAATATCATACCCAATCATGAAGGTTTGTATATTTGATTGTATATTTCACTTTTTCTAGTTTAAAAAAGTAATAAGTATTAATTAATCAAGCCAAACAAAGCAAATTGCAGATTGGGAACGATGCATGGAATTTCTAACTGGCATGAATGGGCTTGGCCAGATGAAGAAGAGGAAGCCGGCTATATTTTGGCTAGGTCGTTACCATGATTAGGATCATAAAAAAAATATACATTTGAACAAATCACAAAAATTACAAAAGATCATATTTTTAAAAAGCCAGAACCAATGTTATCAAGACACACAGTATCTCCTAAGTCTTGGACCATGCCAACACCGCATATTCAAAGTATACATTTTATTATATAATGATATCAATTTTTGTCAATCTAAATTTAATTATTTCATTCATTATTTAACAGATCAAAATATAATGAATAAATCAAATACTAAATATCAGGAAAACTTGGAAAACATGATAGTAAGATTTGTTAGCTAAGATTGCCTACCGAAGGTATTTTAGCTTGCTGAAATACTTTTGAAATTTATTATGATATTGAGAATTCCTAAAATCTAAAGCTAAAAGATTTACACTTGTCAGTATAATTTAACTAAGAAAATTATTTCTTATTCGCTCTAAACCTAAGCATTACGGCGCATTTATTTTTTATTTTTTTTTTTTAATATTAAAGATGACCACTTAGGCCATTGGCATGAGCTTTATTTCGGATAGTTACGATATTATATCAGATTCACGAGGATACAACTAG